ATATAAATAGAAGCACGAGAAATATTGAAGCTGGCAGAGCTTCTTTTCATGTCACGAAGCACTAGACTACAGCAATGAAATCACGGCGCGAGTCCTGGTGCTCCTGCCCCGAGCAGGTTATTACTGCTCGAGCTGCACCTGAGCTCCCTGCCACCCGGCACCCGTGTGCAACGTCTTGGCCACGTCCAACCGCAGGCAGGCGGAGAGCATTAGCGTCCCAAACAGTCAGGGCAGGCAAAACACAACAGGCTAAAATTAATGCAGAGATGAGCATGACTCACCTTCTTCTTCTTCTTCAAAGTATTTTAAGCTGGTCACCGCTGTTTGCTCATGGATGGAGAGAGCAGCTTCCCTTAATGACTTGCTTTCTTCATGCCTGCTGGCTTATTTTCCTTATCGGCTGCGAAGGAGCTGGGCACGGGCAGGGCAGCACAACCCTCGCTGGTGCTCTCTTGCTTGAAAGCATCGGCCTCGAAACCCCTTTGCCTGACAGAGGCTGTGTTTGCTGAGCAGGGAGGATGCAGCACGAGCAGCCGTTCCGCAGCGGTGGCCCGGATCCTCCCTCGGCACCGTTTCAACCCGGAGCAAGGAAATTTGGGTCCTTCCCAGCCCCAGGTTTCATTTGCCCGGGCGTGGGACCGGCCACTGCCCTTGGTCTCTTGGCTTTTACAAACTGCGTTTTCTTGACTTTGTTTGTCTTTTGGTGGGGGGGGTTTTGGGTGTGGTTTTTGTGGGGTTTGGGGTGTTTTTTTTGGTCTTCCATCCAGGAGGCTTCAACAGACCCTTCCCCTGAGTTCCCTGTAAGAGATGCCGGATTTCGCCACTGAAGGCAACACTGTCTGCAGTTAGCTGACCCCAAGCTGCAGGACTGGGGCTGCAGCGAAGCGCAACGGCTCCTGCACTTCAACGCTGCTCTCCCTTTTGTAATTAATTACAGGATGCAATTAGCTGATTTCCTACATGATAGCTCTGTAAGAATGATGTACCTGTACTGAAATGGATGCTGTTCTCATGAAAGAAAAAAAACCCAAGCCCAATATAATATATATAAAATAACCCCAACTTTCAGAGTACTGCAAAAAACAGGTCATAGCCAACTGGAAAATTCCTTGGCGTGGCCAAGTGGCTATCAGGACCTGGTGGATGAGCAGCCGGGCTAGGAAAAAGCCAAACCACCTCTGCCAAACTTAAACCATAGCTGACAATTATTCTTATAATAAAGTTTCTGGTGCTCGGCAGCACTTCCTCCTCCCTGCATGCCCAGGGCAAGCACCTCTGCTCATCTTCAGCCACGGGCATAAACTTTTAAGTGGTGGTGGGGAAAAAAAAAAACCCACCCACAAAAAACCAAGGCTAATGATTTGTTTGATTTATTTCCTGTCAGGGACTGCAGAAGAGGTTCAGCCACGAAGACTGCCAGCACTAGGACTCCACTTCCACCTGCATGTGAGACATTTGTTGCAAGCCAGCATTAATGACACGGGGTATGGGCACTGGCAGTGAACACGACCGTGTCCGTTGTGGACAAGCATCTTTGCAAAGAGCTGCTGTCTGTACATCTACGCTGCCACAGTGACATCCCCTCTAGGCAAGGCTACCAGTAGGAAACTCGCTGTGTGCCTCCAGCCACACCAGGACCCTCCGAGCTCCCCCGTTTGTTATTTGGATTTATTTGGTACCTGGCCCCATCCTGTGTTAATGATGTCTAGCTCAAGAAGTGGCCACAAAGCTTCAGGCATCACAGGGGAAGGATCTGCGCAGCCCCTTTTCTCCCAGTAGGGTCTTATGTTTCCTTTGTGCCTCCTTTTTTTTTGCAGCTAAAGGTGTCTGAAACCTTACCAGGCTTTGTGGCTTTGTTACTGTTCGTGCCCCGTGTATGCCAAACACAACCCAGCTCTGGAGGGAAGCGTGGTTTTGCTTTTCCCTGCCCGCAGTCACGCCACAGGCAGCAGAGTGCACCGCAGGAAACGATCTTACCCCAGTTTATGCTCAGGCAAATGCAGACCCCATGAGCCACACAAAAACCCATGGAAGATTCACACACACCTAACATGTCCCGTCCCCAGCTCTCCCAGGGTGTCGGGCATGTGCCACTGTATTTTTAAACTTGGGCAGACACACAAAATGTGAGAAACCACAGCTCAGGCTGCCATCCTGGGACCTTTCCTCAAACCATCACGTCTCCTGAGCCATCACGGGCTGCCTCGGCAAGGCGTGCTCGTGTCCTGGCAGGGGACCCAGCGGCAGAGCCAACGCGTGAAACCCTCTGACCCCATCCCGAACACCAGCAGCGCAGCAGACAGGACATACGCCAGGAACATGCGTTGGAGGAACTCCCTGTCCCTGACAGAAGCAATGGCTCGGAGAGAAGTACAAACCAGCTATTCATTTGGCTGCATTTATATCAAACGGACAAATCAATACATCACACTTCAAAACAAACCCGAGCCTGTGCAGACAAGCCCAGAGAGTTTCGCAGAAGCTGAGCCAGTGCAGCATGAAATCACCCCAGAAAGAACACACAAATGAGAAGCTAAAAATAAGACACACACCCCTCCAAAACTGCTTTATTTCTTGATAAAGCTGCTAGTAAACTCAAAACGCATTGGCCTTAAAAAAAAAAAAACAACAACACAAAATGTATCGGATACATCCTAGATTTGCCGAGGGCCATGCTTTCAGATGCACGGAAGCGGTGAGCTTTTCTGGCCAGTACCTGAAAAAAACCTGGGCTGTCAGAGCTGAAAGCGTCAGAGTGATTCATAATTATGTCAGTGGTACCAGAAGAACAAATTTTGCGGAAAATTTTAAGGATTCTGCACAGAAATTGCATCCCCTCTCAATGCATCCCTTTCCATCTCCTCTGCTTTTACGGTGTCAGAAGCTTAACATGCCCCATTTACCAGTGTCTTGGAGGATGAAAAAAAGATGAAAAAAACCCAGTTCAACAAATCAAGACGGAAGAGATTCCATCTCCCTTCTTTAAAGCAAACCCTCCGTGCAGGGCAGGAGGCTCAAACACACTCAGGCTTTAGGTACCACTAGGTTTTCACTCCCCAGCCCTCAAACCACAGGACACCAGTGTTTACCTTCAATAATCAAAACTTTATTGCCAGGTATTTCGGTTCTCTCCAGCAAGGACGTGCATTTTCCGCGCTGCCCGGGCAGCCGCTGCCTTTGCCGCTCGTGCGTCAGCAGACGTCAGCGCGGTTCTGGCCGCTGACCCTGTGCGTCGCCGTTCGGGAGCAGCAATAGATCACGGTGGCAGAATCGCATTTACTGCGCGGCGCGGCACCACTGCCACGAGAGCTTTCCTCCCGGAGCTGCTCCTCCTCCGAGTTAATCACGTGTGTCCGAGCGCTCGTTATTGGCGAAGTTTCCAGAAGGCTCCTGACAGAGTCATTTATTAGAGTAACACCCAAAATGTCAACTTCTCTACAAACTGCCACTCTGGATTTCAACCCTATTTTTGATTGAAACGCTAAAAAAGCAGCAGCGGAGGTCAGAGCTCCAGCTGATTTTGTTAAGTCAAGCGGGCAGCACCAGGCACACCGCTTTTGAAATCCCTGAATCACTGGCGTCGAAAGGCACCCAACCTGCCCTACGTGTGTCCTGGGCCATCCCCACCCCACCGACGGGCTGGGGAGAGGCGAGGAAGGTGCTGAGCTCTTCATCCAGGGTCACAGCTCGCTCTCGCATCCCATCTCACTCCGTTTGCAAAAAGAAGCTTTAGTTCTACCATTCCTGATAGAATTCCCGACGCCGGGAAAAGGCAACCATCACACTCTCCTCCAAGGAGGACGAGGAGGAGGATCTGAGGAGCTATGGCACAGTCAGCCTCACCTCCATGCTGGGAGAGATGGGGACCAACGCCTCCCCAAAACCCTCTCCTGCTGTGGAGGAGAGGAGAAAAGAGGGTTGGGAAGAGCCTGGAGGGATCCCCATGGGCAGATTGTGCCTGCTGTGACGAGATGACGGCAGTGCGTGTAAGGGAGGGACGTGGATGTTGTATACCATGACATTGCCGAGGCCTCTGACACTGCTGCCACACGGCAGCCTCACGCCCAAATCAATGGGTTACAGGCTGGAGAAGTGGCAGATGTAGTGCTGGAAATACAGACTAACAAGCTGGAGCAGAGGTCATGAGGATGGTTATGGCATTGGAGTATGTGATGTGCAAGGAGAAGCTGGGAGACCAGAAGCAGAAGCTCAGCGACAGGCCAAGAGGCCACGGGCACGAGCTGAAACACCGTAAACTGCAATGAGATATTAGGAAAAACTTTTTCAACATATGGGTGGTCAAATATTGGAACAGCGATCTACACGCTGTGGACTCTCCATCCACATCCACAGAATATCTCCACCCTTGGAGCTATTCACACATCGCCATCCTGATCTAATTGGACCTGCTTTGAGCGGGGTTGGACTAGAGACCTCAGAGGTTTCTTCTAACCTCAGTTACTCCATGGTTGTGTGGCACCGTAGAGAGTCAGTTTAAGTTTTAATCTCAATTCCCACCACCAGCAAGGTAAAGGCTTCCAATCCTCATGGTGTCGTACCGTAAAAGGATCCAACGGCATCGCTTGGGATGGAAAGAGAGCAGCCAAGCGCAGCGTAAATAAATACACGCAGAGAAAGAATTCATTCATGTTGCAGAACAACCCGCGCAATTTCAATGCTGAAACATTAAAAGCCCGCTGACAGCATCATAGAAACAATGGACGTTTTTAGTTGACCCGTGCTTCAGTCCTCTACCGCAGTGCAGCAGAGCCCGTCCTGCGGCTCTGGAGGGCTCACGCACACCTCTCCTGGGGCAATGGGGGGATCTCAGAACTGCTCTCCCCAGAGGAGATGCCCCCTTTGCTGCTGTGGGCTCTGGCATCAGCAAGTCCTTCGCAGCGGGCAGGCTTTGGTTTTTAGCTTACGTCCGTCACCTTGAGCTTTTTCATCTCCTCTCCTCTCCTCCCAGCAGCTGGTCGAGGCGAGGACCTCCTGGGGCATCAGTCCAGCTTTTTCACCATGTAAGGCCCTTCCAGCTCGTAGCCGATCTTCCTGTAGTAGTTCCTTGTGCCAACGCCTGTGAGAAGAATGACAAAGGTTTAATTCAGTGCGGTGACAAATGAGTTTGCATCAGTACAGGTCAGGGGCTGACCTCCTGCAGAGCAGCTGTGTGGAAAAGGACCTGAGAGTCCTGGTGGCCAACAGGATGCCCATGAGCCAGCAATGTGCCCTGGTGGCCAAGAAGGCCAATGGCATCTTGGGGGGCATCAAGAAGAGTGTGGCCAGCAGGGCGAGGGAGGTCATCCTCCCCCTCTGCTCTGCCCTGGGGAGGCCACATCTGGAGCGCTGTGTCCAGTTTGGGGCTCC